CAGAGGCGCGTCCCCTGCTTCTCTGCGCCAGTGTATACAAAATGGCCGCCATTTCTCTTGCAGAAACGCGTCAAATTGGTCGCTATCGTCCAATGCAGACGGGTTATAATGTTTTTGGACCAAACGTTGGTGCTTTTTCTCTACAAATACAACATCGGATGTCGTTATTACGCATTATTTTTGTCAGTATATGGCTTACGGAGTACAAAGGAGTCACGTGATCACGGGGAAAGCCGCCATTTTGTTGCTTATCTTGGGGCTCCGTAGAGGTGCTGTTCCGCGCACTGGCCTGTGGATGGCGCCTATTTTGCTCCCCTGCACCCAGCAATAACCAATTAGCACCCAGAAAAACAATCAGGACTGCATTCGGTCTTATTCTTAAATTAAATACTAATGCATGCCCTGTTTCAATTCCTAAAAAGCGTAAGATTTGATCAGAATACATGAAATTTCCATTAAAGCAGTGAAGTCATTACATGTTTAATTTCAGGCTTTTCTAATGGAGGTGATTTGCATTTGTTTACATTGTGAATGCATTAATGCATGCATCTGTGGTTTGGCAGAGGCAGCCTATCTTGCCCCACCGGTCTGTTGAGATGTGTGTATGCAGTTATCTGTTTGACCGGGACAGGGGCGCACATGGGGCCTTGTTTTGTTTTCTCAACACAGGGCAGCTGAAGCTCTTGACATCTCCATACCATCTATAGATCAGCACAAGCAAACGTTATATATAAATAAAATGCAGCTTTCTCTCTCACCAGCTGCTAAAGTGTAAATATCTTTAAATTATCTCACTAAATTCTTTCCCTCATCACATTTGTATGTGTTTCTGAGCTTGTTATGATTTTAAGGCATGAAATGAAAGCATTAAAGACACACATTTGTATTAGTAAGTTGTAGTCATTTCACGTACAAGAACATAAAATGAGTCTGGATGCGAATGATTGACATTTTTCACACCGATCTGATAATGTGTGTGAATGTGCTGGGGGGAAATGATGTGTACGTAGTAAACATGTCGCCCATGTTAAAATGCTTGACAGGGAAGGTGTCAGCACTGTTAATGCTGTGGTGTTTGTGTGTGTGACGCTATCTCTGTCACCCCAGCACTGTTTTTTTATGCTAATAATAGGTTATATGGGGGTCAGAGTTGGTCTACAGTCTGTCAGATGATGCTCTGGTGTCTTTTGTGCACGTGTGCATTTAGTGGCTAATTTGTTTGCATTTTCACTTTTGGATCAGCTAAGTGTCTGATGTCTTATTAACAGTCAGGACTCAGTAAATAGTAATCGGGAGTGTTGTTTTTTTTATTTTTTTTTTAAACCCATAGATGGACACAGTAAGATTGGTCGGTCTGTTTAATCAAGTCTCCTTCACTCACCAAATTCAAAAACACAATTTACTATTGTGAAATACCATTACAGTAAAATATATTTATTATAATTTAATGTAATTTTTTTACTGAATAAGAAATTATTTTTATTTTTTTGCATCATTCCTGTTGGCACAACTTTTGGCAATATTTACAGTGCGTATTATTTAATGAGCGCCAGTAATGATGATAATGATAACACCAATTGGCATTATATATTTATTTTTGAAGTATCATATGGCATCATTTACGCCGTCACAGGATTTATTAAATTAATGCTAATTTTAGCATATATTTGCATTAAATATAATTTTAGATGGAAGTATTCGTTACATAATAGAGCTGCACAATTTAATCGTAAAAAGGTCGCGATCTCTATTCGACACCCCAGATGATATTAATCCAGCATTTCTACGATTCTACGAAAGTTATATAAACACTGATTTCTGGTTTTGTGGTCTAAACAGTATTCAATTAAATAAAAAACTATCTCACACAATAAATAACATGGTCATCATTTGTATACATAATTTTTTACAATATCTAAAAATATTTAATATCTTTTAATCTTTAATAATCTGATACTTCGGTGTGACTATTGCAGATACACACATTGCGATATCGATGCTCGAACGTAATCTGCTTTTTAAGTGTGACGTCATGCGAAGCGGCTTCCGGGTCCAAGCACTCTATAAAAAATGTGTGGGGAGACTTATTAAATGGTAATAATAAACGTTTACAAAGAACTGTAATACTTTGGAAAATCACGCTCACAATATGTATATCCATACCTACTATCTGATGCCCAGAAAGTGATTCATTTTGTATAAAATTTTGGTATATGTGATGCAGCAAGTCCAGAGACTGATGTGTACACCATGATTTTATATAAAATTAACTTTAAAGTGTGATATTCGTTTAAGGCCATATGTTCTCAATTCAAGTGAGTAGCGACTTGGACCCGGAAACAGTATTTCATAAGTCACCAATACGTCATGACTTGACTTAAGCAGATCCTGACACTGACCCCTCCAATAGAGATAGAGAGGTTGTGCCATCAGCCGAATTGTTGCTAGAATTGGCTGTATATATGGGCGGTTTATATATTGAATCACAAAAAAATGATTGAGCTCATGTCCATGTATTGTGCGATAAGTTGATATATTGATTATTGTTGTGACGGGCCTAATCTTTAGTTTCAATCCCTGACTGGTTGTCTATTTGAATTGTGTGCGTATCACCAAGCTATAAGGGACTCCTGTATTTGAGTAGTGGCGTGTGTATGGAGTTTAACTGCAGTGTTTAATGAGGCAGACAAAAAGTGAATGAAGTTTTCAATTTGTGATGTGTATATGGGGAGAAAGGTTGAGTGAAAGGTCTGTGTCTGCCGTCTGTTTTTATTTTCTGAGCATGTGCTGTTGTTTGTGCTGCACGCCAGTGTTTTGGTTTGCGTCTGACAGATGCAGTTCTGCTGTGTCAGGGGTTTCCTTGCGTTGGTGGGAATCAGGGATTAATCCTGACTGTGGATTTAGTACAGTTTGTATGTGGTTTGATAGTTTTAGGGGTAGTGGTACCTAATTTATTGTGTGGATGTTAAATAGGGCTGCACAATATTTTGTTTCAGCATCGATGTCACAATGTGCCAATATGCAATTGTCACATCGCAGAATCTGCCATTTTGTCTTGTCAGTTTAATTAGCTTGTAAATGGTTCAGAACACAAGGTAAGTTAAACCCTACAACAGTGAATGAATCTATTTTGTAAAAGCCCTGTGACCGTAAGCTAATTTAATTAATTTGACATGACATAGGTTATAAAAATTTGTAACTTTTAATTGATTTTTTGTTTTTTACTACAAAGATGGTGTTATTTTACTCTTGATTACGTTGTTTGATTACATTATTTTACATTTGACCTCGATACTTGTAGAATATCCAGATATTCATAAAGCACTGTCTCTTTTGTGTGTATTTATGTTCTTGCATTCATTTATGCTTGTAATTTGTTTATTATACTTTATAATATACACACTCCATATGCACTTATCACTAAATTTATGAATTCTTTCCTAATAGTTATTTAAATCATCTTCAGAATTTTTCTGAATATTACAATCTATCTCACAGATGTACAATATTGTAATTTCACTTTTTTTCCAATATCGTGCAGCCCTAATGTTAAATGCCATTTCCATTCGTGAGTGCTGCTTCTCGTTTATCCAATACATAGTTTTGCACTTGAACTGTTTTGTATTGTGATGTATTATGAAAATTATTTAAAATTTCCTTCATGGGTTACTTTTCAATTAAGTGGAAAGTGGACATCAATATTTTTTTAGTTATCTTTTTGTGTGCTTTTATTTGTATTGGTGTTTCAACCCCATCATTGACTATTTTAGTAATGATTAATAGTAACAATTATGCAACAATACTGTATTTCATGATACTGTAGTTGATAAATTATTGCTTTGTGCAGATTTATTTTGTAATGTATAAACGGTGACTTTAGTTTTTTCTTTCTGTAAACAGAAATATCTGCCTGTGTTCTAGTACTATTAATATTCAATTTGTTGTTTATGTAATGGCCATTGGAATCTTGATACATTCACTTCCATTTATTTTTAGGCATTAAACCGTTCTTTATCCTGTTTGATGTTGCAAACAGATGTTTTTATTATATTAAAGTTTTATGCTGCTTGATTTTGCAAGCTTAAATAGTTTAAATAGTCAAGAGTGCACCTGTTTGTAGAGCAAGTAGTTTGATCCTTTTCTGCCATTTATTTCATTTCTTCTATAGGCAACTGAATCGAAAGCTGTTAAACAATCCTAAAAATGAGCACACTTCTGCATTGCAGAATAAGTTGAATAGATTACCACGAAACGAGTGTGAAACCTTCAAGCAATATCTTTCAAGAGTAGTCAGTGTGTTCATGATAGATAGTCTTTGCAAATAGCCACATGACTTGTTGACTAGTGTTAGGTGATACTCATCATACTCATATCGTCCATATTGCTGATACTGTAATATTGTCAACAGGGTTTGGATTGATGGCTGGCTGGCTAGCTCACTGAAGCCTATATTTGTATATAGTGTACACTTGAAGTCAAAATCATTGGCCCTCGTGTGAAATTTTGACACTTTTTTTTTTTTCTAACTCAACAGTTTTAAAAACTCATTTCTTTTTGCCATGATGACAGTATGTAATTTGCTAGTTAGTTTACAATATATTTAGCCTAAAGTGCAATTTAAAGGCTTAACTAGGCAAGCTAAGTCATTGGACAGCAGTGGTTTGTAATAGTCTGCTACTACTACTAATAATAATGATGATGATGATGAAAATAAAATTAAACTGCTCTCTAGAAGAAAAAATATAATATAGGAATTGCTGTGAAAACCCTATTAAATTGCTATTAAACATCTGATAGGAAATATTTGAAATGATAAAAAGGCTCATAATTGTGTGTGTGTGTCATTTATTTTCATTTCCTTTGTCATATTAAAAAATGTTGATGTCTCTCATTGTTGTCAGTTCATATTTTCATCATTTATTGGCACAACAGTAATCGAGATGCCACATGCCAAACCCCACAAATATTTGCAAACTAAATCTTGTCTGTCTTTTTTGTAGGAGCACCATCTCCAGCGGGCCATCTCTGCCCAGCAGGTTTACGGGGAGAAGAGGGACAACATGGTGATTCCTGTGCCAGAGGCTGAGAGCAACATCGCCTACTATGAGTCCCTGTACCCGGGAGACTTTAAGATGCCCAAACAGCTCATTCACATACAGCGTGAGTCATTCAGCCTTCATCTACACCACATCTCACTATCTGAATGAGGGCTTGAGGTTTGTGTGTCCTTCATGCCTTTGGCTGCTGAGCTGTGACTTCATTTAAAGCCATTCATGCTTTCAGAAACCCTTCAAAATCGATTTGGCTGCTGGAATAACACTGGCAATACTAAAATGTATGACAGAAATCAAAGTTTTGTTTTTCCAGAATGCATAGATCCTTTTAAAATGGTAATAATGTTGATATAATAAATACTGTTATTATTTATTTTTTATGTATTATGTCATTATTTGAGCACTGCTTTTATTTATTATTTTTTGCTTTAATTTGTTTGGCTTGATAAATGTTAAAAATTGTAATGTTATCTAATGGACTTATAATTCCTGCTTTTGTTGTTTGTACATGCATTGCATTACAAGTGACACGAGTTACGTTATAATATTACTTTTCTAAGTAACAAGTAACGCATAACTTTTTTTAAATTATGTAATATTTGAGTTACTTAAGTCGATACTTTAAAATAGTATGCATTTGCATTTAAAAAGTCCATATTAAATGTTCTTTTTTTTTTGTACTTTCATATTCCAGTGCAGATTGCATAAGTTTTATTTAGATTTTTTTACTTAAACTGAAACTTTATTTTATTTAGTTTTTAAATAATTTTATTGTGTAGCAAAGTACACAAAGTAACGATGCAATATTTATAAAAAGTAACGCAACTATTTAATTGTTTGGGCAATAACTCAATATTGTAATGCATTACTTTTAAAAGTTATTTTCCCTAACACAGGTTCTGACTGTTTTGAAATTGAAATGATTTGTTGTGCGGTGACCGTAAACTAAAGTATGTTTTGTAAGTGTTTTATAAAAATAAAAGGACCTGTTTAGTGAAAATGTAATAAAATCAAGTCCCTGTGTTTCATGTTAATTAAGCCTCATTTCCTCTTAGCAGTTCAGTGCAAGTCTTCATGTATTGCTTCCTGTTGTGAACTTTTGTTGTGAAGTTCATTGATTCAAATATAGACGTGTGGCTAGCACACGTAAATAGAAAGTGTCATCACTCGTGCTTTCCTTGCATTTTCGGATGCTTTTTGTGAAAGCTTGAGCCAACTTACAGCAGGTTCTGGTCTTGCTTCTTGGCATGTAGCGGTTACAATAAGACGTGGTTTGTTTGAGCTCTGGTTGACCATGGTTTATTGCATGTGCTGTGAGTATAGCTCCAACATTTTTTCGTACCCTACTGTTTTTCTACCCTTTCTACCCTTGGAGGGTATTTGACAGTGGAAAAAGTCATGTGCATTGTACTGCTCAGTGAAAATAGTTGTAAATGTTCACATGCCAAATACAATGTTTAAATGCTGGAAACTACAAGTCAACTCATTATTGTGGTCCCAACACAAACCAAGTTGGACTGAAGTTTATAAAAATAAATCGTCAAATTTCATTGTTGACCAATTGTGTGTTGTCAACCATTTCAATTGTTTCAATTTATTATAACCAGGTAATTTGGGTAAATCATTTTTTTATTATTTCGTATAGAAATACATTTTAAGTAGCAATGCGCCTTTAGGACCAATGAATGAACTGTATCATGATGTCCGAATCAATATGCTGCTCTGATTTGTAGCTTTCAGTCAACTTTGGAATTATTAGGGTTTTGGTTTACCGTAAAAAAAACAAAACAAACAAACTGATTTTGTGTTTTGCTTTGTTCAATCTGCTCTTACAGCGTTCAGTCTGGACACAGAACAGCCGGATTATGACCTGGACTCTGAGGATGAGGCGTTTGTAAATAAGCTGAAGAAGAAGATGGATGTGGGGGCTCTGCAGTTTGAAGAGATGATAGACCGGCTGGAGAAAGGCAGTGGACAGCAGGTACCAAACGAGAGCAAAACTGCATAGAGTTGTGCATATCATTTTTAAAAATGCACACATGGGCATATGGATTTTGTGGTATCGAAGATGTTTCGAGAGACAGGTTTTTGCCTGTGTGCTTGGCAGTGAACTGTCAAAACACAGCAATACAATATAGTATAATTCCTTTATATTTAAAAGCTATTTGCATGTGTATTCATTCAACAGATGCTTTTATCCAAAGCGACTTGCATTGCATTGAAGGTATACCTTTTTTCAGTTCATGCATTCCCTTGGAGTTGAACCCGTGACCTTGGCATTGCTAGTGCTGCGCTTTGCAGTTTAGACTACAAGACCGCTTTGATACCATTTGAAAATGAGAGCGTATCAGTTAACATGTTTTGCTTGCTTGGGGGAAATGAAGCCATTTGATTTCTAATAAGAAACACATTAATGCTTTGTGTGTTTGAATTGAATGAACCGTGTTCTAGCCTGCACTAGTGTGTTGCTCTAAGGGCATGGCTATTCTGCTGCTAGTTTATGGGTCAAAACCATAGAGTTAATGATTGATTATTGATGGATGTTATGGGCAAGCCAATTGATCAGTTGTTATTGGTCTGTTCTGCTCTATTGTCAGCCTCGTGAATGTGTAACACACCATCTGCTGCAATTTATAGTGGGTGAAAAAATTTACTATTTGAGTCTAGGCTCAACAATAAGGACAGAACTTAATGTAGTGGACTACTGCTTATTTCTTTTTAATGCTGAAATTGGTTCTTGCTGTCTACTTTTTTTGTGAAGCCTGATTTTTCTCATCAATGAATAGAATGTTTCAAATAACTTATGGATTTTCATTCGCCGTTCTAAAATTGTGCCACCTGGTCTGTTAAATGTGTCCTGGAATTTTATCCAAAAGTACTGACTCCAAACATTTGAACATTGATTGTTTATTGCACATTTGACTAAGTTCTACCTTTTTATCTCCTTTTTTGTCATAAGGCCGTCTAACATTGAGTGACCTGACATGCAATGGAATCAATAGCAAATGTCTGTTTATATAAGAAGCAATAATGATGAATAGTAGGGCTGCACAGTATATCGTGTCAGCATCGATATTGCAGTGTGCAAGTCTGCAATAATCACTTTCGCTACGATCTGCAGTATAGTTGGAACTGTAGACCCTTTTCACATTTCCGGGTTTTTCTCAGTAGCGGAAGGCGTCATAGCTGGGTAAACTTGGAGTGCAGTGAATCTGAGAGTACAACAAATAATTAAAGAAAAAATCCACAATGGTGTTATCAAGACTTTCAGAAAAAGGGAAAAATATAATATGAGTCTGATGACTACTGCCAGACGAGAAAATAACGTCAATTTTACTCTCAGCCCCAAAGATGCTGCATTAGAAACACCTCGCATTAGTGGTAGGGGTGTCAAAATTAATTGTTTCTTTTTTTGCAACGCGATGCAAACACCTCTAATTAGCGTTAATTTGTTTGTTGTAATTTGATGCAAAGATGATATACATAAATGCATATAAATGTTCATACTTATTATTTTGATTAACAAAAAGATTATAATGACTGCTAAACGCATCATAACAGTCTTGTCAAAAAGATCCATAGTTGACCAGATATAAGTTGACGACATGAGTTGAGTTTACTACTGGTACCCGTAGGTTAAATTCTTTTTGCAGCCAAATTTGGCATTTGATACAAACATCATTTGTATTAAACATAATTATGTTATTTTTATTATTATGTGGTGATTATTTAATTTCTGCTTTGAATACTATTCTACTCCCCCGAAAATCATAAATCATTGTTTAATTGCATCTTTTCTCTGTATTTAACATTTGCTTGTCGTTTTAAAAAAAAAATGATATTTTATACAGATACGCTTCCCTACAGAATCTTCCAGATCGATCAAATTATGAATTCTTTACAAGCTATTCAAGTCAGCTTATATATATATATATATATTTATATATATATATATATATATATATATATTTATCACAGTGGATGAAAATATGGCAATGTCAGTTTTTTCCAGTATCGTGCACCCTTATGTTTTTTCTTGTAGTAATTTTGAACACTATGCTTGGCTTTTTTTTGTGTGAACGAGTTTGCGTTGAAGTATTGTTTTGTATCATATTTCAATGTTTCGGGGGGAAAAAATCCATTTGTTCTGTTTTTGTTTGTTTATTCATTTTGTGTATTAGCAAAGACGCCTAATAGCCAGTTAGTAAGGAAAACGGTGAAATCCTTAGCAGCAAGGTAAAATCAGATTTCCAGACCTTGGCACGGGTAAAAAGTTTCTATTGCTGAGCCTTGTTAGTCTTTTGAGCACTACTAATGAAATTAATGTTCTTTGTTATAGTGATTATAAGCCTAATATGAAACCTTCTCTGTCTGTTTCTCTCAGCCTGTGACTCTGCAGGAGGCCAAACTGTTGTTGAAGGAGGATGACGAGCTGATCAAGGAGGTGTTTGAGTATTGGAGCAAAAAGAGGAAAACATGTCAGAGCGGCTCTCTCATCCCTGTCGTCAAACAAGAGAAGCGTGACGGATCCAGCACCAATGACCCGTACGTGGCCTTCAGGCGCCGGACAGAGAAGATGCAGACACGAAAGGTATTAATCTAAATGTATTGTATATTGACTAATTCTACATCTCCCATAATGTTTGTTTGTTTTGCGAACTGCTCTCGCTAGATGGCAGAGTTTCCATATTAGCATTCAACTAAGCAGGATTTGTTTGACATTAGCAAATGTCCCATCTCTCACTCATTAGAAGCTCAATTATTTGTTGCTATATAATTCTGCTTTTCTTTTGAAGAAAGATAATAGTGTGTCTGATCCGGACTTGTTTTTTTTTTTTTTGTCTTTGTAGTAATGTTAGATTCTTAACCTGATAAAAGGATTGATGTTTATTAAATAATATCTATTCTACATTTATGCAAATAATTATATTTATTTGTAACGTTTAATCTGTTATAATGAAATCAAGAGACTGCATCCAACTATGCTAAGGAGTAGTAACTTACACTATCTTAGAGTTATTGTTAAGTGACCCACAGTTTGACACCGCTGGTCTGTGCTTATGGATCAAAGAGAGAACGCATTTATTTACAAGTGCTCTCTTTTTACAGAATCGTAAGAATGATGAAGCTTCTTATGAGAAGATGCTGAAGCTGCGTAGAGACTTAAGTCGTGCCGTCACCATCTTGGAGATGATTAAGAGACGAGAGAAGAGCAAGAGAGAGCTGCTGCACCTCACGCTGGAGATTGTGGAAAAGAGGTACACATGGCTGTTATATGCCTCATCTTGTGTGTTTAGTTTAAACCGACTTTGGAAGTTTAAAAGTAGTGAAGAACTTTCTAAATGCTTTAGGGATTGTAGAAGTTGCAGGGTTCGCATGGGTGTTGGAAAGTCCTTGAACTTGGGGGGTTGCAGGACAATGAGAGGGGGTTGCTTGATGATTTCCAAAAACCGAATAAATTAATAAACTTTTATAATGACCATTGTTATTCCATAACTCACAGAAAATAAAAATAGTCGCTAAAAATAGCACTTGCAAATATTTTTAAAAATAACCCCCTGGGGTTTTTATGTTAGATTAACAACACACCAATAGCGTCAGACGCAGCACATTGATTTTATATCACCAGCCTGAACTTTGACACCTTTATGGCACTCATGTACATTTAAAATAAACACAGGGCATGAGTGAACATGAAGGATGATCGCTGTTTGTATGATTATAACCATTTTTAAAAAATAGTGGGGGTCGCAAGTTCCTGGCATTGTTATTTTGGGGGTCGTGGACTGAAAAGTTTGGAACCCCTGCTATAAAATACGAAAACAAATAGCTTCTGATGTAATGTATACATTATAAAAGTGCTGAAAAAGTTTGATGCACCTGAAAGTGCTTCATTTTGACTTTAGAAAAGGTCTAAACCCTGGTGCTGTTGTGAACGATTGCGGCAGATATTTGTAGTTTGTTTGGTTATAACAGTTTATGCAAGTTATCGTGCAGGATGCTGCTTGGCTCCAAAATGACTTCTGTTTTGTGCTTCATACAATTTCAGTGATTGTTGTGTAACAGAAAATTACACTTCAGGCAGAGCAAAACTCAAATCACAAAGTATTAATAACCATTTTGCTTTTCAAAGATTATTTATGACTTGTAAATTCAGATGTACGTGGACGTTTGTATGGCAACAAAAAGATTCTAAATTGTGCTTATTAAAAAATTATTAATTTTCCATGTTAACATTATTATGATTATGAAATATTTGGTATTCCACAGTTTTAGCTTTTGAGAGATTAAGATTTGTTCTTTAACAGGTATGTTAGTGTATGTGATTATTGAAGCTAGGCCAGTTAAATTTCATGATTAATTGATGTTCTCTTGACATGAAATGCATGTTAGTTCTGCAGAATGAAAATGATGATTTAAGGTCATAAAATTTTGCACACTGGAGCCCCTTTTTTTGTGGGTTGGTGGGAACGGGAGTGTGTTATATTGAGCTCATGGTGTGTGTTTGTGTGTAGGAACAACATGTCTGATTTTGGAGGGGAGGTGATGGCAGAGGTTCTGGCTCAGAGAGCTCTGGAGAAACCAGTCATCCCTCTGATACCAATCACAAACAGCACCCAGTACAGACACACGGAGCATGACCGAGACTACAAGATCAAGGTACACACACTCACTCTTTGTCAGGGCCACCTGACTCTCACCTTACACTCAAAATGCTTTCAGAGCAAGTAAAAACACTGTTTTTCTGTTATAAATTGCGAATTGAATATTTAGAATCAATGCTGCCATGAACATGGCTATGCTGCTGATGAGGCATTTAAACAAACAAACAAATAATGACGTTCAGAGCAAGTGTTGCATTTCAAATAGCCTCTTTTGTTTTGTTTCTGAGTTTCTTCACATTTCTATGCGTTCACATTTTTGTTCATTCCAGCTTATTGCACAAGTGCAAGGAAATGTATTAAACATTGTTGTATCTGCTTTGTGTGGCTGTAGATGGATAAGCCAGAGGTTGTACGGCAGAAGCGCAAGTATGAGAAGAAGCCAAAGCCGTTGCCATTGGCAGGCTCCGTACACTCAGGCCCGTCAGTCTTTAACACTAAAGACCTCAATCAGTACGACTTTCCCAGCTCAGACGACGAACCCTTCTCACAGGTAACACACATGCATTATAATACAGAGATTCCTGGAAATCATCCTCTGCTTGCTTTTGGTTTGACACTCTTATCTTTTTCCCTCCTCAGATGTTCTCTGGTTCTTCAGAGGTGGAGGAGGAGAACGATCCGGATGGTGTGTTTGGGTTCAGGAGGAGAACAGGCTGTCAATATCACTCTGTATGTTGAACAAACTAAACATTAAAACATCCTAATATGCATGATTTGAAAGGGAAATTCTGCCTATGCACGCAAGGCTGTAGATTGTTTGTAAATATTTCTCTCTCTTTTTCTCCAAGGCACGTTCGGGACCTGTAAGTGGTTGGCCCTGGTCAGACCCTGCTGAGGGTGGGGTAGCAGATGTGCGCTATCGCTATTCTCTAACCACACTCACAGTCCCGCGCCGATGCCTGGGTTTGGCACGGCGACGAGTGGGAAGAGGGGGCAGGTGAGTTAAAAATTTACAGTCTAACGACATTCCAATTTTTCTTTGTGTAAATATCAACATGCTATCGATAACTAACTAGTCATTTGTGTATGTGTGCATTTAGAATTGTGGTTTAAGTATTTAAATTATTTCTTGTAGAATTGTTACAAACATTAAATCAGTTTTGTGTGAAAATACTGTAAGCAGTCAGTGCTTTCCACAGGTATGAAATGTTTGCGGTGGTAGTTAGATTAAAACACACCTTTTACCCACGGCACATGGTTACGTACTTGCAACAAAACAGGATTTCTAACACAATTTTTAGTTATGACAGCTTCTTTTCAATGGGTTGAAGTTTAAAGAAAAAGACTTTTTAAATAAGACAATCCACTGTTTGTTTTACTTTTATTCTATTCAGGAGCCATGTGTACACACACTGACAGCTCAAATCTGCTGATGATATTTTGTACAGCATTACCAAAGCATGTTAGAAATGTATAAAATATGTAATATATCAACATCAAATAAGAAAATATTCAGCAAATGAGAAATAATACATTAAGGAATAAAAAAGCTGCAATAGGAATAAAAATCAAGAAGGAATTGGCTGAAAAAAGGAAAATATTCATTACGAAAAGGTCTTTGCTACTGTTGCTGATAATGATAAATGTAGAAATCTAAGGCGATCTCTCTGCAATTGTTATAGTAGTTGACTCCACCTACAAGTTAAAAAAAAAAGTTAATCCACAGGTCATGTGCGTTTCGATCCGTACAGATCATGGATCAACCGTGATCTGTTAGCCCCCTAGTGGGAGGCACTGGCATTATTTAACTTGCTTTCATTCACGTTAGCAAAATTTCATCTTGTCTGTTTTGCAGGGTTTTATTGGACCGAGCCCACTCTGAATGGGATACTGTGTATCATGGGCTGGACCCGGATTCTCCTGCATTCCCATCACTGTCTCCCACCCAGCAGCAGCCCAGCACAGATACCTCACACACCAGCACAGATACCTCTGCCCCCTCCGCCACTCCACCTGACCTCACGCAAATCCTGCTCAACATCAAAGCCTGCCGCTGGAGGCATTTCAAGCCTCGGACGGCACCGCCAGATGACCCTGACAATCCTGAGCACTGGTCCACACGGAGGCCCCGCCGCGGCTTCCTCATCCGCCCAATCCGCACGCTTCAGACGCAGAGAGGCCCCGCCTCTATTAGACCACCTCCCCCTCCACCCACACCGGGTGAGTCTACTAATGCTGAAATTATGCCAAGCACATTGCATTTCTGCTTCTCGTAAACTTCACTATTAAAAGTGTATGCTTGAAAATATTGACATTGAAGTTTGTGTGTGTGTGTTTGTAGCTTTCACCGCAGAGCAGTATCAGCAGCACCAGGAGCAGCTTGTACTGATGCAGAAACAGCAGCTTGAACAAGTTCAGCAGCATCAGCAGACCGGCAGCTCTGCCGTCACCAACAACCCACAGGTGAGCCTTCAAAAGCCTACATTTTTACCACTGGAAGCTGGTTAGTCATTATGCCACACAACTGTGTTTAAAACCCTTAGAAAGGTCACTTTTGCATATCAGGTCCCCTTTAAAATGCAATATACTTATGTATTTTTATGCATTTTTGCTCATTGCCACTTTATATCAGCATGCTAAAACTACCAGTGCTGCAGGACAAATTCCATCAGATCAGATACTTACGAAGACAGCATGAATAGAGGTGACTCACTTGGGGTCCTCTGTCTGAGGTGTTCTTGTGAGCTCAGGCGGGTCAAAGAGTTTGCCTTTCTGCCCCTCTGAGTCTTTCTAATGGCCTTGTGCAGTTCATCAGCACATCACAGAGAAGATAATGAGAGCTAATGAAATTTGTGTCGTGAGTGCCCTTCTTCAGATGGTTTAAAATTTGTTAATGGGGGTGTTGAATGGTTCTCCCATGGGAGTTGAATTGGCATGGACTGAGGGGACATGCCTATTGAAATGTCTCCACCAATAATTTAATTCACTTAAAAAAAAATTAACATTAACCTAGACATGCAGAAAGGGTTAAGTCATGTGGGGGGGACTCCTAGATATCCACCACATAGGTCTTGCTTAGTTAATCTAACTAACCTAGTTAATCCTTTAAAAGTCACTTTAAACTGAATACCAGTATCTTGAATAATATCAAATAAAATATTTTGCACTGTCATGATGGCAAAGATGAAAGAAATCAGATATTAGAAATAAGTTATTATATTTTTATGTTTAGAAATGTCTAGGAAAAAATCTTTCTGTTAAACCGATTGGGGGAAAATATACGGGGGGCTAAAGTCAAGAGGGTTAATTATTCTGACTTCAGCTGTATACCTGTCAAGTCAACATCATCTTGCTGAGTTGTTTCTGTGCTAGTTTCTTGGCTAGATTAGGTCTGTAATGGATATATTTTTTTATACCCCAATTTGTTTCTCTGCCTCCTCTCAGAGTTTGGTGTCAAAGACGATAGACGCTGCCAGCGCTCAGTTTGCTGCATCTGCATTAGTAACTCATGAGCAGCTGTTGGCGCTCAAGAGTAAAGATGAGGGAGTTGGTGTTAATGGAGTCGTCTCAGCATCAGGTTGGTACACTTTTGCAGTATTTATGACCTCGGTGCGTGTGCTGCTTGATTTTTCTGTTGTGCTGAACTCTTCTCATCTGCACAGGCGTCTACAAGGGCTTACATCACACGAGCTCTGCGGTGTCGTCCATCCTTCCATCTGTCGGCTCTACCTCCACCTCTTGCCCCTCCCCCACCATCGCCACCACCACTAACAACGGCACCTCCTCGGCCAATCACCATGTGGGCCCGGCTGGCCCCGCCCCTGGCCAAGCGCTAATGGGCGGGGCCGTGCGAGTGAGCGTGCCATCACCAGCAGGCACCCTGAGTGTGCGCCAGCTGCAGCGCCAGCTCACTGTTCCCGCCTCAGCCCTAAAACTCGCTGCCAACGCCAACAGACCGCTCCCAAAGGTCACCACAGGGTCAACTACCCTCGACATGGGGCCCAGGTGAGAGTCTGCCTGATCTTAAATGACTAATAACCTAGAATTCTCTCTTTACGGTTTGGTCAAATAAAAAGCTTCGCTTTGTAACTTGCAGAGTCTGAACAAAACTTAAACCATAACGTCTAGAAAGTGAATAGCTGCATCCGAAATCGCCTACTACCTCATTTGATTTTGAATGTACTACTCAGCCTTTAGAAAAGTATATTCTATACAGTATGAATGGAACTTGGACATACTACATCTGCCATTTTGTCATGATCCCGTTACATACCTGCGTCGGTTGCGTCGCTTCACTCCATTAATGAATTCTCTCACAGTGCATCTTGGGATAGATAGTGTAGTGTGCATTGGATGCCCATTACAGAATCTCGCTGGAGGTAGTAGGTCATCTGGATACTTCTCGCATACTGTTTTTTCGAATTCTGTGAATTTGGGCATGCTACTCGGCTCACATACTGTTTTTAGTGTCCTATATTCACCTTATTCGCCGCGTACGAGCGGACGCAGCCGTTTGAATCATTTTGGCTCAAGGCATCGTCTCGTTCTCTTTCATTCATTTTTAGATGTTAAAACCGCTCCTGCTGCTTGCAAACTGATATTTCCTCATTTTTCTACTTCGTCTGTAGAGTCATGCAAACTACTGCTGTTTATTATTCCTAGTCATTTCTCTCATAGGAAACTCAATCGGAAGTTCTAAAACAATCGCAAAAGCGAGCACACTTCCACATTGCAGAACAAGGTCAATAGTATGGAAGTATGCAATTTTGGACTCAGCCGATGACTTTTTGTATTTTGAATTCTTTTTAAAAGAGTAAGTGCTTGAATATTGCTCTACCTTTATAAAAATATAACTAAATGCTGATGATGATGACCTGCAGACTAAAAGCTGGTGAATTTTTGAACAGACAAATGTTTTTTGGAGGAACTAGCAAAGGATTTTGATAAAGGTCTTGGCCAAAAAGGCCTGAAACTTAGTTTTGTTACTGGCCGATTTGGCACAGTGCCACCTGCTGGTTAGGAGATGGGAAAAAGCTGCATTTGCTTTGGTCATCTTTGAAGAGCAGTGTCTCTAATTTAGTGGAGTATATCAAGTCAAAATCATGCTGTTCTTATTCGAAAAATCTGTGGCTTATTTTAGTGTTGGAAAACTGCAGTCCTTGAATTCACATCTGTATTGATCAGTGTTGCTAATTTAATTGCATCCATTAAATATTCAATATTGAACTATACTTTACAGGCATTTTAATTTTTGGATGGGATTACAAGGATTGTTCATTTGATACAAATGTAATTGTCATTTATAAGTGATTTATAAAGCATTAATAGTCCTCACTTTAGACTGGCTCACAAAACTGCATGAAGTTGAGTTAATAAAGCATTTATTAACATACAAATGAATTTACTAAACAGCTGAACAATAAGACGTATAAGCGTTAATTTCAATAGTTTATTAATCATTTATCAACTCTTTCTGAATGATCTTAAACCACCAACTACTCTAAAATACAAATGATTTGTAAATAATGCGATACTTCAGTTAGTCATGAAAACTCAATCAGTCGCACATTATGAAAGTGCAATGATTAAGCAGATTATAAATGTGCTTATAAGGCATGAATAGAGCATTAGTATCTGCGGTTATAAACTTCTTACTAACGTTTATTAATGTAGAGTTAATGCTTATCAACAAATAATCAACTCGCTATATGCTAATGCTCAATAAATGGTTCATAATGTGTCGTTCTTATGAAGCGTTACTGAAAAGTCTCATGTGTCTGTGTCTCGTTGCTCAACTGATATTCCAGCTCCTCATTGTGGACGCACACATGATGCTGGAGAGATGTATTGTGCAGCACTAGTGCAATAGCTGTTTTCGCTGATTGGTTGTGAAGCACTAGCCTCCACTTGCCCTGAGGTCACCCGATCACTTACTGTAATGAAATGTGTGTTTCAGGGAGAATCACGATCAAGAGAAGCCTCCGTTGAACAGTCTAACAGAGAACACAGTGGCGATGGAGGTGACGTAGCGCTGCTCTGTGTCCACGCGTCTCCTTTAGGTGCTATGCATCGTAGCGACGCTGTTTTCATGGCAGCCGTTGGGACTTAATTGCAATGCTCATCTTTTTTTTGTTGTTTTCTTTCTTTTTTTTCTGAAATTTTGTTACTGTTAAATATCAACATCTGTAAATTATGAGATATGGAAAATATTCTATGTACATACATATTTGTAATACACCCCTCCCCCCCTCCCCCACTTGTATATAACATTACTTGAATACAGAATTCATTTGTGATGTTTTGCACTTGGGAAAAAAAATCTGAAAAAAAAGAACTGCGATTTTCGTAGTGTGTGTGCCGTTTGTGCGCGTGTGTGTGAATGTTCAAGTGTTTGTGAGACTGTATCTGAATGTATGTCACATGCATGGTGCAAAACCTGCTGTTTTATCTATTTATTGTGAGGTGTTTACAGTTTTGTTTTCTCCCCCTTTAAATTCTTCATTTTTTTAATACACTGTAACCTCCTGGGTTTGTGCGGTGTGCTTGTGTGCGCGTATGTAAGTGAGTGAGTGAGTGTGTGTGTGTGTGTATGTATGTAGCTGCAGCAGTTGTATGTGAACATCTCTTGTTGGAAAAGCAGCAGGGGTTCATCTGTTTGTCTCTTTCTCATGTGGCTGCTCCACTCCACTCAAGCACTATTTTCTTTGGGTTCCTTTAATCTGTTGAAATCAAAGCTGCTTTTCTATGATTTCCCAGTCTCTTTTGTTTTGTTTTTTCTCCTGGAATCTGAGACCCTTCATCATCGAGGGTCTGTGAAGCGTAGAGAGATGGGTTTATTTTCTGTTCTTACCTCTGTTTTTGATGACTGATTGTACGTCCCCTTTGCTAAAGGAGCGATTCTGTTATTTGTGTTAACAGTAGTTCATAAGGGAGAGACTACAGTGACATCTCAGTATGTTTCTTTATCATCATCATCATCATCATCATTCCACTTTATATGAAAATAAGGAAAACGAACAAAAAAGGGACGTTTTGTTTCCTGTAAGTCTTCATGGTGGTGCCCTTCCTGTGGGTCCAGCATGAGCTCTCTTCTGTGAAGAGGACGGTACCTCACAAGGCTACTCGTAGTTGTTGTTTGTATGTACCACAATCTGAATGCCCGTTCCAATGGCATCATCTATCTTTGAGGTGTTTTTTTTTTTTTTTTTTTTTTTTAAGTCCCACCTGGAAGAATGAATAAAAAAAAAACTTATATGACAAAAAATGTTTAATAAACCCAGGGCATTAAGTGTTGACCAGCACTACTCTTGTCTGTGTGTCATTTGTCAAGGATGTGAGAAGGGAGAATGCACGAGTGTGTGCTTCATAATCTTATAACCCAGGGAAACGATCGAAGTCAGATCAAATTTAATCACAAGCTTACAATTTTTTTTAATTTGCATAGTTATTTTTTTTCTCCTGACAGATTTACCTATAATTGGTTGGCACAATGTATCATTTCAGCATTGATATCGCGATGTGATCATTCACCGTAGTCACATCGCAGCATATATGCAGTGTCGAGTTTTTTGGATCTTCATTTGTTTTTCCATATTTGCATGTGTTGTTTGATGCCTTTGATTGTCCACTGATTTGAAACAATATTCCGGTATAGTGACCATTTGTGACCTTAACGATGATTAAGGTTATTGAATTCTTTTTATCATTCGGTTACTGTTTTTAAATCCTGTTAGACTCAGGATGTGATGAAACACCTTTATTTTGTTGCATCTTTTTCTGATTGTATTTATAGATAGGTCTGCATGAAAATACTCACAACACATGCAAATAGCACATACCGCTACAAAAAAATTGTCATGGCCAAAGTGTTTATAGGTTGTTTATTAGATTTTATGGAGAGCCACTCTCACTGCAGAACCATCCCATTTGATCTAACATCAATTCTTTCCACATAGAGATATTAAGTCATCTGGGGAAATTGCTCCCATATTGCAATATATATAGCAAAATAAAAAAAATTGCAATGTTAGCTATTTCCATTATCGCGCAGCCCTAATATATATATATATATATATATATATATATATATATATATATATATATATGTATATATATATATA